TGGCCGCAGAGCTGCCGGCTTCAGGAAGCGTCCCGACCAGCAGGAGCGCCGCGGCCAGAAAGACACGGGCGAAAGTCATGCTGCCAGTTGCGCGCGGCTTGCTCCATCGCCCCTCGGCTCCGGAGCCCGGCTGGGAAGGCGGAGGGCGGAGCCGCGCGCGGCGCCCACGAAACCTTTCCCACCTCCCGCCGGGTGAACGCGGAGCTCTTTGCCTCCTCGCCCGCTCCTTCGCCCCCGCTGCTCCCACTCGCGCAGTCCTTGCCGCCCTGCCGTCGCTCCGTTGACTCTCTTGCTCCGCTGCTCCTGGAGAGCAGCCCGCGCTTCACCTTCAGCGCACGGTGCCATCCTAAGGCGGCTGCGCTCGAGCTGCGTAGGCACCGCTCCCCGCTACCAGGCTTGGTCGCGGGACAAGCTGAACCACCAACTCGCGGGCGGGGCATTTTTGATTTCGGGAGAGCCCGGGACGGTTAAGTTAACTGGGCAAGCCTATCCGGTGAACTCGGCTTAGGCTCTGCTTCCTTTCTCCCCTGCTCTTTCCGTTCTCTTTCGTAGCCCAGTTGAGACGGACCCCTTTGCAGCCACTCAGGGCCGGCAGAAATTCAGCTGGTTCAGCTTTTTTCCCCCAATAACTGCTCCCTTGCGCTGAGAAAACCCCCGCACATTTGCCCGTATCGGGGAAACTGGCAACCGACCCGCTGCTAGCCCAGCCACTAGACACGTACGAGTTGGAAGTACGATGGGGTGGGGGTGGGGGGCTGATTACGGAGCTTGCTTAGGGAGGAATTAGATGCTTTGTATATGCTCAGAAGCTAGGCGTCGTGAGCCCGACGGCGGGGGAGGGCTGAGATCCTTTTGAGGACTCTTCGGGTCCCCACTGAAGCCGAGGGTGAATCAGCAAACACAGAACGTCAGTGGAGCGTTTGCATGGCCTCCAGGGATCCCAGCTGAGGCCGCAGGAGCTTGAACTGGAGTGCTAGTGCGCCGCGAACTGGCAATTCGCAAGAAGCTGCATTTTTGGTACCCAGCTGGATTCTGCGGGTCTTCATCCTCTTCTGCACGGAAAGAGGGCTTATTAGTGAGGGCATATGGAGGGCGGAAGGAAGATGCGCCAGCTTCCTTTCCGCGGTTACCAGCTTGGCGTAAAAGCACCGCGGGTTTCTGCGGACGAGCGTCCGAGTGGCGCTCGTCGCTTGTACTCCAACAAGGGAAGGCTGGAGTCGCCGGACCGTTCATAAGAAAAGAGCAGCGAACCAGAATTTTGAGAGGGGAGCATCTGTGCTCCCTCTTTCTCTGGCTGCATTCCCAGACACTGACCCCCAAACCAGCCAGCCAGTTAAGGATGTTGGGTCTACCTAGCCCATCTGGCAAACAGGGTTTGGTGTGCCCTGGGAATTTAGAATATGGGACTGATTCAGTAAAATATAGGTGCTGGTGGAGTTGGGAAGTTCTCCCATCCAGTCTCTGAGAAGTATCAATAGATACCTCAACCTCAGAGGAGTTAGGTGGCAGATCTACTGCAGTTAATGGAATAGTTGCCACCTTTCTCCATGGCTGAAACAGCAGAAAACAACTGGCCTGACATGTACTTTCCCCACAGCACATTGATCCCGCTTCTGTTCCCTCTGTTCCCAGCCTCATGACTTCCTCCCAAGCAATGGATGACATACCTAACAGATTCATAGGCTGGGTATATGAGAGAAAGGCTCTATTGTAAGGACACAGCAGGAAGATGTTCCCAGGTCAAGTTTGTACTGTGCATAGGTACAAGTGGGGAAATCCCAAAGAGGATTCATGGCTTCTGATTCATTCAATGAAGCATGCTCCCTGGGAATTATACTAACGTCTTGGGCATGACTACTTTCCATTGGACCAGTAACTACAATTTTAAAATGTTCATATATAAATTGTTTCTTCTTTTTTCTCCATACAGATAGTCCTTGTTCAGTGACTGCATTTAGAAACCATTCAGTTACACAGTGATGAAAAAGCAAATTTGCCACCAGTCCTCACATTTATGAACTTCACAGGTCAGTAAAGCAAAGGGAAGCTGAAGTAAGATCATAAACAGTCCTGGTTTCACTTAGCAACTGCTTTGCTTAACAACCGAGTTGCCGGTCCCAACTGTGGTTGCTAAACAAGGATTACTTGTACTTTCTAACATGTTTTCTAATTGTAGTGAAGTGGTTATTGCTACTGTCTTCTTAGTAGTCTTGATAGACTTTGTTCCAGAGAATGCTGTCTCAGCAGACTGATGCTTCTGGTTGCTGCTTCTGTGTTCTTCCTCACACGCTACTGCAAACTTACTTTCATTTATTGTTCATATGCTCCTTAATGGCAGTACCAAGAGCTGCTGCCTTAGAAATCTCAGACCTTCCTGTTTTAACCGTGCAGGCACAATGAATCACCACCATTTATGTTGTCAAGAATCCAGTTGACTTCTTGGGGATCATTATCTTGTACTCAGATTGTTTCACATATATATTTATGAATTATTATGAATATTTAACTGCCTTTTATTTTCATTGTAGAAAATATTAATATAATGTCCAGTGACACCCAGGCTGTGCCAGCAGTCTTCCAATTTTGTGTGTGTGTGGTGTGTTCTTTGAGTCACGGTTGACTCCTGGCAGAAAACTGTCTCTGCAGTTTTCTTGGCAAGGTTTTTCATTAGTGATTTGCCATTGCCGAAGGGGGGACTAGAACTCACGGCCTCCTAGTTTCTAGCCTGGTGCTTTAACCACTAACCAAACTGGCTCCAAAGGTTTAGTAATCATAATTTATGGATAAGATCTTCATTGCTTTGTAGTTGATTTACCAATTTATTTTGAAGATCCTACCTACAATCTCAAGCTATTCTTCAGTCCTTAATGCCTACAGCCTCTCTACTAACCTAGGGAAATGCATCTTTGACATGCCTGTGCTAGGATACTGACCATACTGTAGACTAACCTTGCCATTTTCAGGGGTTTATCATTTTTTACTGCAAAATTATTGTGCACTGACTATATTGTAGACTAACCTTACCAAGAGGATTCCTACATACAACTATGCCAGTTGAAATACTGGATTAAGTTACATTTTTTGGCAGGTCTGATTTTGCTAGACAGTTTCACGACTTCATGAAATCCAGGATGGTTGCACACTTAAAATATTTTGGACTATAAATTCTTTGCTTGATCCCATTCAGCCCAGAGACAGTCAGGTTGGAATTAAAACAACAGGCCCTCAACCCTGACATTCCATAGTACTTACCCAAAGCTCATTTCTTGTATGGAGTAAGCTTGTTTGGGAAGCTGTTCTCTTATGCTAAATATATATTTTTTTAAATCCTTGCCTAACCTATAGGAGAGCCTTTACCCTCATCTGGTACAATATCTTGTCATATTCCTTCTTGGAAACAAGATTTCATAATGAATGGTCTCCTGCATCCTTTTGTGACGTTCCTTTAGATGACATGGGAAACAGAACTCGTTAGCACTTAACACACAGCGATAGTGGATTGGAAAAGGAGATTATTTGCTTCCTCTTGACCTGACAGATCATCAGAGACAATATCTCAGAAGGGTTGCTAAATTTGTTACAATTGCTATTGCTGCTAGACACGTAATGATCTGGCAATCTTAATCATTTGGTTTTTCTCAAGATGATTTGTATTGTATATGTATTTTACTTTGCATGTTTTTAATATGTATATTTGTTTACATTCACATGTTTTGGTTTTTGACTAAAAATTGAATCAATAAAAATATGTTGGATTCTGACACCAACTAGCTTTTTTTTTTCTGACTCAGCATATAGTTCTCATTCCATCCTCTATCATCCACTTCCCACCCCTCCATTTGTTGTTCAACCTGATGCTTCTAATTTATCCTTAGGAACTATGCTTCTAACATAAGTACCAGAGCCATCAAGTTATCCAAAAAGTATGCAATAATTCAGAAGGGCAGGGGAAGAAGTTTAGAATTGAACCCCTGAGAATATGTAAAAGCTCTGACACCTTTGCATTTCAATGGGCAATCAAGTACAGGTAGTCCTCACTTACTGACTGCTCATCCAGTGACCATTCAACATTACAATGGTGCTGAAAAAGGAGATTTATGACCAGTTCTCAAACTTGCAGCCATCATGGTGTCCCCATGATTGCGATTCAAGCACTTGGCTACTAGTGCACATTTATGACACTCACAGCATCACATGGTCATGTGATCGCCATTTGTGACCTTCACAGCTGGCTTTTAGCAAGCAAATTTAATGGGGAACTGGCAGGAAGTCACAAGTCGCAGTCATTTGACAACACGTTTAACAACCATGGATAATTCACTTCACTTCACAGCTGCAACTCATGTCATAAGTCTGACACAGACATGTGATGTGTCACTTTATGATCACGTTGCTTAGCAATGGAGTTGCCGGTCCCAGTTGCAGTCAGTAAATGAGGACTACCCGCATTGTGGCTTCATTCTTGTCTGCAATAAAGATTCTAATCTAGCTGTGTTGTGTCTGTACATTTTCTGCCAAGTCAAGCTGAGAAGTTGAACTAAAGGTGGTTTATCTGGTGATTTGCATTAATCATAATTTCAGATATGGTACACCCTCGGAATCATGAGCTTTTGTTGCTCTTCAGGTCTTCATGTCCTCACCTCACCAGCATCCCAGTGAATAAATTGCCCCATTTGCTCAACTATAAACTGTCTTGCCAGAATGGAACCTGCCTGTTTGGGTCTGAACAGATAGAGAGCACATTTATCATCATGAGTAGTACCCAAAGAAAAGAAGTATGAATGCTCAAGTTAGGAAAATAACATATTGTTGTTTTGTTTAGCAGAACATTATCTTACTCTGCTTTGTAGTCTGTCATCCAGAGTTGCTATTGATTGGGGTGTCTTATAAATATTGTAAAATAAACTTCTGTGCCAATAAATATTAGTGGAGGGAAGTACAGTATATTATATATATATAATGCTGTACCCAAATCTGCCTCCTTTATTTATCCTTTATTTATACTGTACAACACTTAAAGAGTTTTCTTCCTTATGAAAGAGGCTGTCAGCTTCATCCCTAAGCTTAGCAGTAAATCATCAAACTTTAGATACCTTCCCCTAAGTTTAATTTCTCAGCTTGCCTTGGTAGCAAATTCACTGATACAAAACCTAGATTAGAATCTTTATTGCAAATGAGAAAAGTATATGCAAATTAATATAAAATATGAATGCAAATTGAACTTCTTATGCAATCCTTAATTGGATTGTCTTATTCCCTGGCTCTGATCTCCTAACTGTGGCTCCTAATCCCATGTAATGGTTGCATACCAATTAATTGTAGTTATAAACAAAAACAAAAACATTGAAATAGGCACAAGTATGTTAAATTCCACTCACTCATCATTTTAACACAAGGATGTGCAATGTGTGGCCGTCCTGTTACTGCTGAATTCCAGTTC